GATTGATTGGAAATCGATTGAGAGATATGTCAAATAGAAATTTAATACGACTAAAAAAAATAGAATAAAAAGAAAAACGCTGCAAGCACTGATTCTACCGACCGCATTGCTCGCGGCCACAAAATATTCTTGGAGCAGCCAGGATAATATCCCTGTAACAAAAAGAAGTAAAACATGCATTACTCTTCGTTCTTCGAGGCGATTTCGAGCGAACGCGGGAAAGGGAAATGTGTGAGAGCGCGATAATGATTGTTTTTCCGACTACGTGATGCTTCAATGGAAAACAATGAAAATCCAGACCGTTCGTTGAAGTTAAATTGGACTGTTAATTCGATAGAGACTGAGAAAAAGGATAGAAATAGAAAATGCAAAGATCACTTACATTGCTGCCCACCGGAGAACGCTTTCTCTTCGCGCTACCTTCTCTCTTGAGGTGATTTTAATACCGAGAAAGAACAAATGAGAACAAAGGAAAATTAATTAGAAAGACTCGACCGTACAAATTGCAATCGGCGAACAAACACTGGCTCGAATCTCGCGATATAATTGATCAAAGGTCGAATGGAATGCAATGGGAAAAAATATTTGAAATTGATCAATTGAAAAGAATTGAAGCGAGTGACACTACGACCGCATTGCGCTCGGCCATCGGGAAAAATAATTGCGAAACAAGCACTGACTCTAAGATCGCATTGCACGCGATCACAAGAAGAATCTGGAAACAAGCAAAATTAACACACAAGGGGGGAGGAGGGTTAAGTAGGAAAATTAAATAGAATACATCGTTTTGATGTATCCATATTATTTCTTCTTGCTGTCCACCATCGAGCGTTTGTCTGTCGTTTCCTAAATTGTTTAACACGTTAAAATATTTGTTAAAATCGTATTGAATTCAGAGCATGTATGAAATCACACTAGGCATCGTCAATGAATGCCAGAAGTATCGTTTATCGAGTCTTCAGGTTTGAACGTTTCAAACTTTGTACGTAATATAAAATAGAACGACGCGAACTCGACAAATAGTACAACATATCGCGTATTTATTCGACAAATCGAAAGATTATAAAATATTATTCTTACGAGCACCCTGTTGTCACTACTTTACCAATTCCAACGCCATGACATCGATCGACTATCGATCGTTATCAGCCGCCATTGTTAACGTCCCGAATGATCCTGAGTCTGCAATAAAATCAAACGAAATACGCATTTAAAACGACTGTATAAAAGCAATCCCTGTCAATGAAATGAAAATCTAAGAATACGTTTCACAATTTCACAGATATGTAGAGAAAGCACGTAAAAGTACGAGCACTGTATGCCAGAAACGTCCAACAAGTAGTTGAGAAAACGCGTATTTGTCAATCAAAATTATTAGCGACAGTCGAGAAATAATGATGTACGAATTGTAACACTTACATGAAACAAATGCGTCGAAACCGATAACACGTCGTACAGTCGTATGAAGGGTACAAAAAAGGTCGAGCGCCGGAATGTATACACAACACGCGGCACGTCAACCTCGACCGGCACGTACAACACTCGGAAGACAAATGGCGAGGTTACGCAACTAATTACGCCGGGTGAGGGCACGCGTAACCGCGGGGTGGCGCGGTAGTAGGGGAAACTCGCGGCGCGGGCGATGCGAACGTATTAATAATAATTGTATAAGATTTACTTTTTAAATTGTAATCAGGAGATCTTAAATCATGTTTCTCCGCAACGAAGAATTAAAAGTTATGTTCGTAACATTATCTTATAACCCCGAAAAGAAGATATAATATATTATAGCATGCGAGATCATTGAGAAATTGTAAAAATGAATAAAGAATAAAGTCCACAAACCTTTTACATGAAATCCGAGTCTCCCTGTTCCCTCAAATCTTGCAGAACTGCCACCCACTGGTAGATCGAAGTTTCAACCCTGATTCAAAGGGTGGGAGTCTCTCGTTATCTGGCGAACGCAGGCCGACGCACTACGTATTCGAATCGAACCGAACCGGAGCGATAATGGGTCTCCCAAAAGGACTTACGCCTCCTCAAATCCTCGTTACTCGATCAATGGGCACGGAGACAAAGCACTGCGTCGTCATCGTTAACGAACATCGTTCAAGGAATATTCGATTCGTTCCTGTAACACCAACGGAACGTGTTGCACTTTTGAAATCTGATATTTGTATACGATTCGAAATGAACGATTGAAGAGCCTCGAAGAATTAGAATATATAGATTAATTTTAGTCGTTGTTAACTTTATCATTTCCAGATACATTATTGGATCGTCGATTGTATGACACGAATGAAAATTTATATGGGAACGGCGATGAATCGAATTCTTTTAAAACCGATCGAGACCGTCTAAAAAAAGAGGTGTTATTGAATTATGCGAGTGAGTAACGCTGTGGACAATGAACGTGCGCCTTTGTCACAAAGTTTCCCTATCTCTGGCCGGCGTATAGTGCCTCCGCCTCCCACAGTTCCCGTGGCCTAATTCGCGTAACTTAACATTGTTTGTTCGTCGAACGAGCATTCATACGCGTTATCCACCGCGGCTACAGAGTACCTCCTTTCATACGGGCTTGAATGGAAAACGAGCGTGTAAACTGGCTACGCCTTTGTGGACAATTAACGCTCGTTCTTTCGTTCTACTTTAATCAGCATTTGAAAACGAGAGAACGGAATAGAAGAAAGGCATTTATTTTAAGATATCGATAAAGGAACGACTGTATCGTTGCAAAACGATAGCCATGAGACGATGAAGTTGGAGAGTTCGGTCAGTTATTCGTTGATCTACTTGCTACCATTAAAGAGAGAAGCTTGTCAACTAATCGCAAGCTGGAAACGTTTGGTAACGTTAATTGTATAACGTCATTACCCAGTATGCATTTGATTCACGTTCGATAAAGGATTGCTGCTGAAAATAATCATACCATTAATTAGAACCTATCTCATAATCCGAACAATTTCGTAATCCTTGATACCTTACGTAGTCATATCGTATTAATTAAAATAAACTATTGCATACTGCGCTTATCCCAATTGGAAGATTTTTCCAAGTCCCTGTGGCGATTAATCGAGCAAGGATTCCATAAAAATCTCGAGAACAGACGAGAAGGTGGACGAGAGGCGACAGGAAGAACGCGAAGGCAGGTATTTTGTAAAGGCAGGCTGGGGATAAAGTGTGGGACGCGTAGGAGAACATGAAAATATAGATCGTTGGAACGGGCAAGTTAAACATTGGAGGGAGAAGGACGCACCTACCGTGGATCGATCCACGACCATTCTGTGGGTGTCCAATTTCCTCTCTCTCTCTCTCTCTCTCTCTCTCTCTCTCTCTCTTTGAGCTTCGATTCGATCCAAAAGAAAGAGGTGGATGCACGAGACGAGACAAAAGAACTATTAGGAGGTAGTGCAACAGAAATAACGATACTGTCTAACGACTATTCTAATCGATAGACTGCGATATGCAAAATAAAACTTGTAGGATGTCGAAGTCTATAATGTATCGGTGTCCGTTATAATGTAAAGTGCCGGAACGCTCTAAATAAGGAACCATGTAAAAATGAACAAACAATAAGAGATGAATACTAATGAGTTTCCATGTGCAATCATACTTACGATCAGGAATACGGTTTCTCTCGTCCTCTCCTGTTCATCGTCGGTGGAAAATGAACTTTGTTCACAATTACAGTATAATTATAACGAGTGACGAGTCTGAAACGATGAAATAAAAATTGACCGTAGGGAAGATCAGCTTTCGATACAAATTGCAATCAAGGTTCGAATTATTCAGGATTTGCGTGTATCGTTTATTGCGTGACATTATCGTACGACTTATCGATAGAACGAACGAACGCACTTACGGGCTACGCTTAATTACAATAATTGATTAGGAGATACAGCGAGATGGCTGTGTTTGATCTAACGGTATCCCTCAAGTACGATAACAATGGGTAACAATATTATTCTACTTTGTCCAAGATTAAATCGAAAGATTCTATCAATTAATTGATCATACTTTGAACAGTTATTTACATCGCACGTTCGTAAGTAACACGTTGTACAATAGGTACATTGATTTTTAAAAGAATTCAATGCGAAATATAAAAATTGCACTTACAGAATATGAAACGCTGACTGCTCAATGAAACCTCTATGTAACGTCCAGCTTTCAATTGATATTTCACATAAAACTTGGCAGTCTTGGAACAATTTTTCGTACAGTCGCACAGAATAAAAAATTACTAACCGACGCTGCGAAAGCCCGCCATTTTGCATCGCGTTTCGATCCCTGTCAATAATCGATTATCGTCGTCGATCGATTTCATCGCGCACACCGTTTATTTTTGTAATTATTAATAAATTGTTTTAAGAAACAACAAAAACTATCCCCTACACCTTTTTCGAACCATAGAAATACTCCGAATTATTTAATAAAGAATCTGGCAGAAATAATGGCGCTCGTGGCACCATCTAGCGTAAATGGCTGCAAATACATACTCTGTATTAGGAGAATATGAATCAAAGGAGTCACCACTAACTCCTGTTGCTGACGTCACAACATGGAGTTAGTGCTACCTCTTCCAACTTATATTCTGTGATTGGTTAGAAATACAAAATGGCCAACGAATAAGTGTCCGTGATTATATTCTGTGATTGGTTAGAAATCCAAAATGGCCAACGAATGGAACCGTCCGTGATTGAAGCGTGATTGGTTGTTCAAATGTTCGTATGCGCATATCCCACCATTGTTGCTGACGTCACACGAGGAGTTAGTGGAACCTCCTATCACTTTATATTTGCCTAATACAAAGTGTGTATTTCGAGCCGATTCCGCTAGATGGCGCCACGAAAATTCGGGAGAAAATACGGGAGCCAATTAGAGCGCAGGAAGCATAGAACGCACGTGGACATATGGCCTGCGTAGTGCGCACGTGTCGTGTAGTGTCGGAAGAGTTGATCGCTCCGTTATAAAATAAAGAAATTAATGTAAATTTGTGTAGTGCAGCATCAATTTTGTATTCCTCGATCTCTACCTCTTATAATTTTCATTACATCTTATTTATCGATGCAAGCATCGAGACGAAGTCTTAAATTCTAATGTCGAATCTCTCACTAAAGACACGCGGCATTGAAATTCTGCCACGTTCCATTAGTTGCTTCATTAGTTTTATTACTGTTCAATCTTTTTACAAGCGATTCGTATACAGGACGAATGGATTTAAGGAATCGTAGACGTTTCTCGTTTAATCACTACTATGTACAAAGAGAACCGATCTAAGGAACGATCGAAAATTTCGTTGGACTGCAGATTCTTACGCGACGACGCTCGTCACTTTGATTCAGATCTGGTAATCTCATTTTTATCCTTGTGCATCGGATAAATTTTCCATTAGATCACGCATCAAATCCGCAGTCTATCAATTGCAATACTCTCTGGTGAACACAGGAATGTATCATTCCACATTTTTCATTCATACACGTTAATCATACAATACTATGTACGAGAGTGAAATCGTTTGGAATCTTGTGCTCTGTACACGATCGTTAATTTCTGTACACGATCACAAGATTTTCCACGGTGAACTAACGACTGGCCGAGACGTGCAACTTTATTATTGCTTGAATCCTAACGTTACACTACCTAATACTATATGTGCACCTGTAGAAACTCTAGTTTAACGATATAGTAGCATGTTAATGAGCGAATTTCATCGAAACTTCTATCTTACGCTGTACAATCGCTTAACGAGTCGACTGCGGGTCTCGCGCGTTCGTACAAAATGTCCGCAGTCTGTTAATAATAAAAAACGAGGGTTTATTAGAAACGTTAAATGCACGTTGGAATCGGAAGTTGGCAGTTGTACAATTCGCCCTCTGCCTTTAATACAAAATCCACCGGGGGTAATGATCGCCGGGTAACAGAGATGAAACGTCGTTCGCCCGAACACACAGCCGTGAGATGTTCCACGTTTCAGCGATCTTACGACAATTCAGAATCCTGTCTCTCTTCGTTTTATTTTCACTAACAGTCCGAAGTTCACTGCCTGATCTCTTCGTCCGGGGATTGATTCTCCAAAGTGCAAGGCCTCAGAAACTCCTGACCTCTCTCGTGCAACCATTTGTTCGCCACTGAAAAATATTAAATACTTTCTCGTTTATTTCATTCGACGTGACACGATTCGATCCGGTTTAATTACCCCATTTGGAACCGGTGAGAACCGGGCAGGCCGCGTGTCTAGTCTTGAAATCCCCTTCGCCGTTCGGTTTCAGATTGTACCAGAAAGCGGCACTGCCTTTCTTTGGCCATAGAGAAATATTAATCGCCGTGAACACGGTACCGCCTCCTTGTTCGACGTCGCTCATCTGAAATTTATTCCATCGAATGAGATTCGTCGTCGCACTGGTCGACCGTTCGAATACTCACGTAGTACAGAACAGTGGCGATGCGATTCCCAGTTCCCAGGCTCTTGAACGCGTTCGTTTCCTCTTTCTAAATATGAAAATGTACAAACGCAATCGTTATTTGCAACGAGCAATCATTACTTTTACTCGGTCAATACGTGATTCGTAATTTACCCTGGCGAAGTCGAAGTGCGGCTCGTAATGACCACCGATGCCGTAATTAACCACTTGCAATTCCTCCGCTGTATCGACGGTCAAGCTCGTCATGTGCTCCACGCGCCTGCTGACGGCAGCCACGTGCTTGTGCTCGTGTTCTTGAAGCCAAGCACTCTTGCTAATTCTGTAGTTCGCTATCTCCAGCGCACCGGTCTTGTAATTCTGCACCGTGGCACGCTTGAACTGCAATTCGACCAAATGCGATTCTTAGACGACGCGAGAAACACGTTGCACATTTTTTACTCATATCTTTCGAGTCGACGCGAGAAACGTTTCAATTCGCGCGTAGAACTCGTAGCATAATTAATTTACCCTGGGTTGCGCCATTCTCTTAATGGTCTCGATCTCTTCGTCGTATATCACGTTGTGATACACGACTATCCTCGGGTCCAGGTAAGCTTCTTCCTCTTTGAACGGTGCGATCTTCAAGAACGGGATCCCACGGTCGACGTATCGACACTTGAGATTTTTCTGCACTTCAGGCGGGGTCGACACCTCGCCTCTGCACAGCATCTCGTACCGTTCTCTCTCGGACATCTCTCCCCACGTTTTCACTTTCTCCTCGGCCACTGTGAAATGCTGCAACAGTAAAAATCGATTCATATCGCTAGTATCACTAGTTTACTTTGAGACTAAAAATTGTTTGAAATCGCTGTCTACGATGCGAGACGGTGGTGGATGGGAAACGAAGGACACACGATTAGAGAGGAATCAGGAGTGACTACGAGGCGGTTTAATTATCTTACTTGTGCAGGAACGGCCGTGTCGTCCTGGCCGTCCTCGCCCCGTTTCTTCTTTGACTGGCTCGCTTTGCTCTGAATCTCCTTCTGGTAGTAAGCTCGGTTGCCCAAAGCACGCTCATGTGTCGGCACCAGTTCCAAGAGCTCGTTCGTCATGCTTAAAGCTCGTGCCACGTTCCCTACGCAACCAAATTCTCGCCTCATTATCCGTTACAATTAATTCAAGTCTAATCAACGTTTATCCAAGATTTCTGATCGAAACTACAAGTCGTACCTTGCATGTACGTCGAGAAGGCTAGATATTCCAGTATATCTGGCTTAGAAGTCGTCGTAGCGTTTTGTTCCTCCTGAAGGCGGTCCATGGCTTCTTGCATCCACAGGACGGTGTGATAGTAATCACGATTATGATAAGACTGTCTGCCAAGTTCGAAACAGTCGCCGGCTATAAAAAAGAGCATCCAAACGTTCAGTGACCCATTTACTGAGCGAGAACAATGATTAAGGATGTATTGGCTATACGGTCAATTCCAAAAGTTTATGTATCTTTGAAATAATGCATTTCCGGTAATTAAAGATAGTGAATTTATCTTCTAATTTCGATATTTAATGAGTTACGTATGATTATTTCGCATTTTATTCATGTTGACAAAATCCGACTATTCCACCGTCGAATCGGCCAACTTTTGGAAAAAAATTTCGTTTTTTGACGATAACTTCCAAACGGTTGGACTTAGAGGGGTATTTTTGGAACCATTTTGTAGGGGACGACGAGACCTACAATTTCCATATAAAATTTTGTTGCTAGCATTAATAGTTCACGAGTTATTTACGAAAAACGAAAAAACAGTTTTTTGCAAATAACTCGTTAACTATTGACGCTAGCGAAAATTTTTTTTTCGCGGAATTTCGACAAATGCTTCAAGTAAAAGTTGTAGGTGATACTATTACCTATAAAAAATGTGAAATGACTATAATTTTAGCTTTTTAATAGTAACAGGAAGTATATAGCCCATACATCCTTAACAACGGCTAGACGTGGAAACATGGATGGAAAATTTAATTCTATAGAAAAGATCGACTCTTTCGATTGACTGTTGTAGAAAATTGTGAACAAACGGAACGAAGAAAAGCCGGAATCCTGTGGAAACAGGGATTTCGATTTTATGTCTCCAGGAAGTCGCTGATTGTCCCGCGACTCGCGGACTCCGTCTGTATAATTCATGATTCTATTATCATAATTACATTCGTAATAACAGGCGATGGGAAACCGTTTCCCGGAGAATCTGAAAGTTAAAGTTGAAAAAACGGGCGAACCTCCGAGCCAACTGTTATTCTTCGAACTTTCAACCTTTTTACTTGGCCCGTAGTTTTCCTAAGAAGCTCCCTCGGTTAATTAATTTACGAATTCTCGTATTTACGAATCAAGGCTTCCTTGTTTCATTTCCCACGCGGCTGATTTTTAAATTATCCGTGCGTTTCTTTCCGTTTGGCGCAACAATTTCTCCAGGAATTTCAGTAGCTTGACCCAATTTTCAGCTCCGGAATCTCGGAGCCGTAGGTGGTTGTTCGAAAAAATTCATCGCGGCCGCAAAAAACTTTTCAACGGCCTCCTTTCAACGACGAGGTAAAAAGATCGGTTCAAGTTTCCCCGTGGCCCGAAAAACTCTTTGAAAAAGTGGTTGCTTACGCGATTCGAAATAAACGAGCCACCGGGAAACATGGAAAATTCCGTGGCTAAGCAATAAAAGTGTAAAACCGCGCGCGTCGCGAATCTAAACTCGTAGAAAAAACTACTCGGCGGTCTCCGTGTTCATTGAAATCTCGTCCGCTCGGCAGGAACAACGGCTCACCTAAATTAGGCCTCTGATTATGTTCGCGGACCTTTTCAACGGATAAGACTGTGAGAACGTCGAAATTGCATCGTCGAAACGACTCGAGAGACAGAAACAAGGGATGCGTGTACGAACCAGTGAGTCCAGTGCTGTACTGGACGCCGTTGAGCACTCCCCTGGCGACCTGGGCAGTCTCGAGCTTATAGGTGTCCTGAAGCCTCATCAAAGCGACGGCGGCACCGTTCAGGTCCTCGTCGGTCGGGAATTTAAGGTCGCTACGCGAGCTGGTGATGTTAGCCACGAAAGACTTTCCCACGTCCTGAGTGATCAGCTCCTCCACTCGCTTCCAGTCGGTGGTCAGCCTCTTGACCAAGAGATAAGCGTTGATCGGGTTCGACAGGTACTGCTGAATGTTCCTCGAGGCCTCCTCGTGCTCCCTCGCGTAATCCTCGACGTTTCTTCGGGCAAACAACACGTTTCCTATTTTTAATTCGACACGAGGGCAACGTCGGGATTTCGACGGCGACGGGTCCGTCTTTTTTGTTTCTCGGCGGAAACGAGGATTCGGGAATGGAAACTCTCGCAAGAACGATTCGGGGACGACGGGTCGTCCCTCGTTCCGCGACAAAGCACGTTCCCCTCCCCCTCGTCACTGTTTCCCGGGGTTTAAAGAGAGACACAAAGGACTTGGCAAGATGACGAGAGAATTATTCGGTGGTGTTCTCTCTATTTTGCCGGGCACCGGGCAATAGGCAATAACTGTCTGCCGTAGATAACGAGCGCGCGCCTCCACCCACCAAGGGACAAGAGATAATTCGCGAAGATCGCGCGGAAAACCCAGTGGGGGACGTAATAATACGTCGACCGATTGGGGCGAGGCGCGTGGCTCGCATGCAGATTCGCTTTAATCCCGTTTCGTTCCCCTTTTTCTTTATTTCCTCCGACACGCGATCCGATTTATCGTCGCCGGAAAGAAAATACAAATTTTCTTTCGCGAGCAGAATTATTTTTAATCGTTTCGATCTAATTCGCTTGGCTTGAAGAATGAAATTCTCGGAAATCGAAGATCTTCTCCGATGAAATCAATCGATGTAACGCGGCGCGGAATCGCGTACGAATTACTAATGCGGAATTAAAATCGCGATAAAGGGGCTGTTTCGCCGGGTTCCATTCGGATCGCATTTGCATGAGCGTTACCCTCGTTATCTCGGCTGAACCGATCACGCGAATGGCTCTTCCGAGCCCGTTCTCGATCTCGGTTGAACGACCGATAAAACGAGCAACCGAAAGAAAATCGCCACCAGAAATCCGCGATTACTAATACCACGAACAGAACGAAACGAAATCGTCTCGTCTCGCGGTTGGAAATCTTCTTGACAATTGCTCCGAAACCATTCTCGTTCGTACTCTACTTCTTCTTCTTCTTCTTCTACTTCTTCTCCTGCGCTCCGTTTATCTCGACGTTATTTATAACGGCGAGGACAAGTTATTATTCTACGAGGGAACGTCGTATGCATCGAACGAGTTTTGAATACTCCTGGCCCGGTATTAAACGTGTATGCGCGTGTCAACAACTGGGGTAACGGTCGGCGGACAATGCAGCCCCATTTCCCGTTGAAAAGAAGAAGGGACGACTCGATTTTCGTCGCCACGACGAATTCTCCCGGAAATTGTAGGGAAAGGAAGCTTGCCGGTGACGCGACACAAATACAGATAATTGTCGCGATGCGCGTGCCGTGAATAATAGCACGCGCTTCTACTGGCTGTTACGCGAGTATTTAAAAAAGGTTCTCTACGAGAACGTGTCTAACGGCGACGATTACTTCTGGAAATCGTTCCGACATCGTCGTCGTCGTCGTCGACGACGGATCTTTCCATTTGCCGTCGTGGAAAGTTGGCTATTAGCTCGCGTTAAAACTCTCGGGGAAATTTTCAATCGCCTCGAGACGCGTTAAACCGATGAATAATTCCAGCAGCCCGAGTGTACCATGCAAATCGAGCGTGTCGAACATTAAAATACCGCACGCAACTTGAAATTAGTTTGGAAGAAAATATTTCACGGCTCTGTTCCCCGGACGGAAGTACACAGGCGTTTAGACGAAGCTGCCGCGAAACGGGCAGCGAGAAGTTTAAATAGAATCTCGTGGCGCTCTTCAGACTCGAGAATTTACATGGGAAATGTGAGAAATCGACGAGTATCGTAGAGAATCGACGACCAGTCGATTAGCTCGCCAATTAACACAGCACTTGCGGTCGTTTTCTCTGAAAGGGTTAATGAGAAACCGTGGGAAGACGTACAAAGGTCGCGACTCTACCCCTCGTCAATCTCTAAGGAGTTGTTCACCCCCGCTCGATTCGCCTCGATGGGAGTAATTAAAATAATGAGAGCTCGACGTTCTTCTTTATTTCCTCCATTGACACGTTCTCGCCCAGCGTTGTTTCGTTCTAAAGAACCGCAATTCACCACTTTAATACAATTTCGACGTCGTGAATCAGGCAATACTATCTCTGAACGCGTTTGTTTCTCCGAGAGGCTGGCCAGTTTGTTTTATTATCACAACAATGAAATAGCGACGACGATGATTAAGCGCTCGGTTCCTATTTAACATCTTAAAGCGTCGCATCGAAACTTTCTACTAGACCCGAGTTTGTAGTTCCATTATTATCTCGCACTGAGAAAAGACGTACAATGAACACCCCTCCGCCTACCGTCGTTTCCGATCCTATGTAGGATCAAGGCGAATTTTAATTACGCGTTTTCTGCTCTCCGGCCAGTTTCTTTAACGCGATAAACCGTTTCTCCGTCGTTACACGTTTCGTAATACAATTTTGCGTACATCTCGGATCGAGCGAGACCTGGATTTTTGTTTGCTCGATCGAGGGTGATAGGTCAAGTGGTAGGGGCGAGATCAGGAATGAAGATTTAATCGAATAATTCTGTAGGGACCTAATGGTGGTGAATAATTTATCAGAGCCACCCTGAACGGAGGCTTTCGTGGATTATTAAGCCAGCGGTCCTCCCTGTGGCCATTCCATTGCCGGGATTGCCGCGACACAATGCAAATCCTGGTAGACGCGCGAACATCGTCGACTACTTAGCGTTCGTCATCCATTGACGTGACTCGCGATGATTTATTATGACTCGGTCTGGTTTACCATTAGTATCCAGGGACGAAACGTCCGCGTAGAAAAAAAGAATATAGATTTACGAGGTTCGCTCGGATCTCCAAGTGGTTTGCCGTGTAACCACTGATCCCTTTAATTAAATTATATATCGTTCAGCGATATATCGTTCAGCGCGGTTCAATGTACTTTTATTCCGATCGACGGTCGTCTTAAACCGGATCTGTTTGTACTCGATTTACAATATCGTCGATTCGTATATTTTTTTCTGGTAGGAAACTGGTTATCGAAACACGTGTCGGAGGGCTTTATAAACAGCGTCTGCGATCGAACGAAAACATTCGACGTGGCATTATTATTCCGATCGGTTCCAATTCCCGTGCATCGGGAAACAAGGAACGCTTAACAAGACTCGATATTACGCCGGCGAAACCTGTCGCCGAGATTTAAATTGCAAACCCACTTTGTACGTGGACCCGGATTCCCGGTTTACGAGAACGTTCTCTAATCTAACAGCGAGATTTCTCATCAACGATCATATTTTTCTCGTTATTTTTTGATCGACGAAAAACGTTACGTCGAACGTACGAGCCTCAATTATCGCGGCGAATCGACGAATCGAAGGCGTTTAGACCAGCCGGGGGTGCAAGTGTCCTCTCTCCTCTCTTTTTGTACCGACTGTCTGCTGGTATCCAATTACAATTGGACCTCGATCCGATCTTGATATCAACTTATAGGAGGCGGAAGATAGGGACATCCCCGACGCTATTGTGTCGGACGTGACACAATGACGACGCCTTTCGCGCTCCGTTATCTCTCGTCGCGACTTTCCACCCTCGCCGTCGATTTCACGCGGCTGACAGCCTCCACATTGTTTGCCCCTACAAAGCGTTTTCCCAAACTCACAAATAGAACCAAGTTGCCACAGTAGTTTCCACGTCGAGCTCTTTCCTCCGACGATTTATATTTAAACCGTGTCCCGACGCTTACTTCGACGGTAAATTCTTACGACTCCCGATACGAAATTGTGTCGTCGAGTCCCGCGTTAAAAATGAATTTCGACCGGTTCACGACCAACACCCCGTTTTGTCGTCGGAAAGGAAGTCGGCGGACCATAGGCAGTCTGAATTTTCAGCAGGTTCAGCGGAATTCTGGGGGGATGAGAGGGTGTAATGTAGGGCTGTTGAACATGTCCCCAATTTGGGGGACCAATTCCAAACCCCTGTCTGAAATCTCGAATTCACTTCAGTTAACGATACGTCAGTCGGTGCCGCCCGAGGGAATTCATTGTTCGATACTCGAATGCAAAAACTGCTTACGTCCGAAGATCGATCGTGACAACCGGCCTTATTAGAATTACAAACAACCCGTGTACGGAAGAGACACAAAGAATGCCAACGCTCCGTTGTACGAGCGTGGTCGTTCGAAACTTCTGCTCGAAACTCGTTTCCTCGCGATCTCAACCAGGGAAACAGGTGCGAACAGGTGCCGGAGTATCATGGTTTAGTTATCATGGTGGTCGAGGGGAGGGTGTATCGATTTCACGGTGGACTCGGCTAAGTGACGAGGTGTCGTATAAATTAGCAGAATAAACGAGCCAGGTGCGCTTGACTCTGGCCACGCCGTTCACCTGACGCGAAGCAGCTGTGACAGACATCCTGCACGCAGGATTGCTCACAGGAGAGGAGAGTTCGACCCTCGCCGATAATTCCGTCCGATCTTTATACCCGTTCGATTAAATACGAGGCGACGTTACGGCCGCCACACGTATTTCGATCGGTCCACCGGTCGATTTTATTTACGCGTTTAAACGCGAGGGTGATAAAACCGGCGTCTACACGCTGCTGATAGCGACTTTCAGGAAGTTCCGCGGAAAAGGACGCAGCGCAATGAGTGCAACTTTGAAAGAACAACGCGTAGAACGAGTGCAATTAGAAGAAAGTTGGCGGAAATCGCGATTTACATACGAACAAAAACTCTTATCACCGGAGTTTACCTCGTTACATTACGCCCGAATCGTCGAATGTACCGGAACAACGAAAAAACTCGATAAGCGAAAACGAGGGAAAAAGAATAAATAAATTAACGTGCCGGTGAATCGGAGGTTTACGATACCCAGGAAAAACAAACGAACAGAACGTTTCTCATTACGCGACGGTAAATAACCAGAGATGTATACACGTGTTTTAATAGACGACTGTTTCGCACAAAAATTTGCACGAATGGACGAGGGTGGTCCGCTGTACAAAGAGCGATGCTCCATCGAGATAAGACAAAGGATAACGCAAGCACGGACGAACCGAACTACGATTTCACGTATCGCTAATTAAAATCTGTCGCCCCGTAGAAAAAAAGAAGATTGGGAAAAACCGTCGGGAGGGGAGGTGACCCGGCGTCATTGGTAACGAGGGGGTGCGAGGAGCAACGAAACGTCGAAATCGCGCTAACGAGAGGATTCGTTATATCGGACAGCACCGGGAATATAAAGAACTGTCGTTATCGCGCCTCCGACGTGTCCCTCGGGCATGCAACGCGCTCGGTCAGTTTTTTAATCGACTCTCCGCTTCCGGAGATACCGGCGGGCCATCAAACCGTTTTTCTCGTTCCCTGTACTCGTCACAAAATGAACCAGGCGTCGTGTCTTATCGCCTCGATACCACCGCGCCTTTCGCCAACGACCACGGGAACGAGGAACAGTTCCTAAATGAATTCACCGGAGCAGAGGAAATCTCGATCGGGAGACAAATAACAATATCGTATCCACTGGTCGACGACAGACTGTACGCGCCAACGGGAAGCCGATCGCACGCGAAAAAACAACCCTCGTGGCCGTGGTTCGACCTCCGCGTCGCTGTATGAAGCTCCACCGACCTCCCCCACATATGCAGATACAGTGCCTCGCAAAAGCTTCGAACAACATTTCGTCGAACGTATCTCCTACGGGGAGTGAATGAAACGAAATTCATTGTTGGTTCTCACGTGAAAATCTTTCGGAGATAAATAGAATTGGCGCGTGGAAAAGTTGTAGAGAAAGCACGCGAAGGACGTGTACATTTTCACGAAGAGAAAACTTTTCGAGGTCGGTGTAGAACGGGAAGAGCATTAGATTTCCCCGGGGTAATGTTGGGAAACAGACAAATAGCTTATCCATTGGAAACTGGTCAGCTCTATGAGCGGCAGAATTCGAGGGACAATTTTTTCCAGCCGTGGCCGATTCCAACCAGCGGCAACGGCGACGGCGGCGGCGGCGAGGTAAATGGAATAGCCTGGTATCAAGGGGGATCCACCTGGAGCAACGCACGGCGAAATGGTCGACGATTCGAAAGCTTTCAAGCCAGTCCGGGAGCTAACCGCGATTCACCACCCCCTCCTGGAGACTCTTCAACCCTCTCTATCTCCGGGAACCCTTCGCCAGGCCGCAGGATAATGGCGATCGTCATTTAGCCACTTCCGGTGGTTCGATAACGTCGACCGATTTACATGAGAATCTTCTCTCGAATTTCCAACCGGCGTTTAGCTAAAAGCCGATTCCGCGTCTTTCCTACCGCCGAACAATTTCGCTAATTTTTAAACTCGAAGCGCATCGAATCGTACGTCTCGAGTTTTTTTTATTTAAAACAGAGACCGGCGATCGTCCGTCGCCTGGGACCGAACCTGTCGTTCGAGTCCTCAGAACTCCGATTTAATTTCTGAATCCTCCCAATGAGAGAGAGAGAGAAAGAGAGACGAAGAGAGAGCGCGTGTAATTCGAAAACGACGGTCGATAAAGCGGCTAGTGCCTCCTACGCATCGAGATGTCTCTTCGTACATTCCGTTAGCCCTGAACGAACGCTTGCGCACAGCGCACGAGCGCTCGGTGCCTCAGTTCCTCAGTTCCTCCGTAGCATCATCGACCGTTGCGTTCGTCGTGGAACAGAGTATCAGATATTTTCACGATGCGCGAACGTAAACGTTTATTCGTGGCAGGAAGAACGTGAATAAACGCGTGCAGTGATGTGACTCGGTCCCTGGAACCAGTCGACACTCTTCGAGATTGCGCAGGATTCGTGTTCCGCGATGGTCGATCGCCCGTTCCGTACGAACGGCGAGGTTAAACCTCCTTTCAGCTTCGCCGAGAAGGTGCACCGCGACTGGATCAAGTCGGAGAGCCCGGAAAAGATCGTCAGATACGGACAGACCGAAGACGTATGCATTTTCTGGAGAAAGAGCCCGCTGTGCAGGCTGACCACAGATAACGCATCTTACAATTGGAACTTTTGGATAGTGACGCGCGGTAAGTCGGTCTGAATCGGTGTTCGACGGGCGTCCCCTCTTCCTACGGAGTCCGTTGAAACGCCTTACAATTATTAACCAGTATATATTCCCCCTTGCGCTGGAGGTGTTTGCTCTAACGCTCCCTCCGACGACGGTCGTGGACGCGTAATTTCGATGGAGGATGTTTCCGATTTAGGTAAACAGTTGCAAAGAGTAGCGCTGACGCTGGATCAGAACCGAAGGAACTTTGCGTTGAAATCAGTGATTTACGATAGCAAGGAGATCGGTGTGACGAACGGTCAGGAATGGTATAACTCAGAATTGGAAACCGTAGATGCGAACGGGAACGGGAAGGAACAGTCGCATTACTTTATCGATGTTCACTTTGCTGCCAATAGATATGGCACATACCGGCAAAGAATGCTCCTTTACTTCGGCGACTATCCCGTGTTGCTACAAAACGTCTGCGTGGACTGTCTGCCTATCGAAGATTTAACCAGAATCGAGGAGGCTACCGATTACCAATTTACACAGAACCCGAACGCGTGGAACGACGGGATCAATCGTATACAATGGTTCGAATCGCCGTTCGTTGCCGCGAAAGATCCAAAGGAAGAGAGACTGTCCATGATCTATTTGTATCCTAACAAACACAACTTCTTCTTGACTCAAGAAACCCTTACGGACGAACGTCTAACGGCAGAAAATTACAGAGGCCGTCTACACGAATTGATCAACGTCGAAGAGCTAGCTAGGCACGAGCAGATCGCCAGATACAATGAGACCTCGTACATGCGTCTTCTCAATCATTACGTTCTCACGTTGCCCGGCGACGCTTCCACCATCGCCAAATACGCGCCGCCCGGCGAGCTCTTCGCTCAGGTGCGCCATCATTATTCTTTCTACCCTCTCGAACCGTCGTCTGAGTCCGAGCAGACTCACTGTTTCTTCACCCGCCTTCTCGTCCTTCGAACGCGCCTTTCTGATCGATCCATTTTTATCGCAGCTGCCACTCAGCCGCGGTATCTCCGAGGATACCAAGAGCGGCCGGCTGTTCTTGCGAGGCTGCAACAAAGTGCTCTTCAAGAGCAAGTGCCCGCAGCACGTGAAAGCCTCGAAGGCGATATTCGAGGCGCACATAGAGGACAAGTGCACGCACACCGTGTACGTCAGGCTGTCGAAGGAGTGCGTGCAGACGTTGAACGTGACGGCCGACTCCGACCTGCACGTTCAGGTCCAGTTCTTGTTGAACCGTTTGCCTTACTGCGAGTGGCACAAGGCCGTCGACAGCTTGCCGGACATCGGTCTCGTGTTCCTCGGGAAAGATCACGTGAACATGAACGACCGTCAGGGTTTCGCGCAGTTGCTGGAGAGGAACGCGAGCAACGTCCGCGTCCCGTTGTTGAACGACGAGCAGAAGAAGGCCGTGGCAGTGATCACGGCCTCCGTAGACGTCCCGATGCCACCGATTCTCCTGTTAGGCCCGTTCGGAACGGGGAAAACGTTTACCATCGCCCAAGCGCTAAGACTGTTGCTCACCGGCGATTCCGAGCACAAGATTTTGCTGTGCACTCACAGCAACAGCGCGGCCGATCTCTACGTAAAAGAGTTCTTCGACGTCTGGTACAAGGCCGAGAAGAATCCAAGACTGAAGCCCGTTAGAATTTATTACAAGGGAAGAGCCAGGAACACGGTACGTGAGAAAATAAAACGAGAAACTTCTCCTCTGTATAGAGAAATAAAAACAGATTCTACTCGCCCATCCTTCTTAATTCCCCGTTTAAATAATACACCTCGAACACACACCCCCCGCGATCGAAACAGCGACTCCTCGGTAGTCTCGATGGAAAATGTCGTCGAAGACGTTCTGTACCGTCGAGCTGACACTCGGTAATTTTAGGTACACCCGGTGGTTCAGGAGTATAGTTTGATGAGAGATAACGGTACGTTTCGCGATCCGACCGACGAAGATCTGAACGACTGCGGATTGGTCGTGACCACGTTGGCCACCTCCAGTTCTCTGACCAGTCTGAACCTCTCGTTCACGCACATAGTGATCGACGAGGCTGCTCAGGCGCTGGAATGCGAGGTCCTGATACCTCTGGCACTGGCCACGCCGAGGACGAGGCTCGTCCTCGCCGGAGACCAGATGCAATTAGCGCCAGAGATCTATAGCGATCTAGCCTACGAGAGAGGACTGGGCATCAGTCTGTTAGAGAGGATCTACGGAATGTATCCCGCCGCGCATCCTTGTAGAATTCACCTGGACCAGAATTATCGAGCCCACGACGACATCGTTCGGTTCACCTCCGAGGCGTTCTACGAAGGACTCGTGGAACCAGCCGGGAAAAACTTGCTCAGGCATCCTGTCCTGAAACCGCTCACTTTCTACGCCGTTCAAGGAGTCGAAATTCAGGTGAGTCGCAAGCGGAATGAATGATCGAACGAATGAACCGAGTCTGATCGACGGGTGAATGTACGCGCGATCATTGACGACGACCTTCTCTCTCGACGCACCTCTCCGAACTTCCCGAGTCAAACATACCTGTTGCTTCGACACCGACACAGAACACCCTCCCCGTCGTCGTCGACCGAGCGAACGCGTAATTCCGATTTCGTTTGCCGCAGGACTCGACAGGGTACGCGAACATGAACGAGGTCTACGAGCTGGTGACTCGAGTGCAAGAGCTGAGGAACAGCTGGCCGACGGATCGCTGGGGCGCCTACGGGGAGAAATCGATCGGCGTGCTAGCGTATTACGCGGAGCAAGTACAGAGGATCCGCGCCGAGCTCAGGGAACACAGACTGGCGGACGTGTCCGTGGAGAGGGTGCTCAACGTCCAGGGGAAACAGTTCACCGCGATTTTCATCAGCACCGTAAGGACCGGGCAATGCTGCCGTTACTCCGCCGAGAGGAACGTCAACGACTACGGTTTCCTAACGAATCCCAGGCTACTAAACACGGCCCTGACCCGCGCCAAGTGTATGGTGGCCGTCGTCGGAGACCCGATCGCGTTGTCCACCATCGGTTCCTGTAGGAAACTCTGGCAGAGATACTTAGAAGTCGCCGATCTGCGCAACGTCGACCGGAACACGTTGCAGAACCAGTTGACTCAAATTCCCGAACTCCCCTCGGTCGCTCCTCTGAACCCGCTCGCCAGAGAATTCGTTCCTCGAAGGTACGTACCGATGGTCGAATACGTACCCGTTCCCGTCATGTATCCCGTGTTCCATCCGTTCTACTCGACGTAGTCGCGTTTAGATGGTACCGTTTTACCGAGTTTCGCGTAAAAGTCTGCGGTCTGATCAGCAGGATCAGGGATCGACTGTATATAACGTATACGTGTATGTATCTGGGGTTTACGGGGACTACTAACCCGAGAGCGTATCTCTCTCTCTGTCTCTATGTGAATAGATTTAAGGATTAATTAATTAATTAATCGTTGCCGATACTACCTTCGCATACGAAGCGTGATCGACGAGGACCGTTTTCTTTCTATTGCTTTACGAGACGCATTTGTTTGAAAATCATGCAATTTATGTAACAATACCACAACATTGAATTATAATATAGAAATATATTTTTTACTAGTTCCACGAAGCCTTCGATGAATCCCTCGACCTCCCCCTGTTCCCCTGGACGATCTTCGATCCGATCGACCGCGTGGGTCTTTGACAACGGATTCTAACTCGCGCAGACGATGACGACACGCCTCGGTGCGATTAACGGTAAATCGCGCGTTTGACAAACAATGCGGAGGCAGGAGATTCGCCGACGTAAACTCTGGGCATAATCACGCATTAGCAGAGCGTCTCGGCGATATCCGGAATTACGCGACGATCAATACGGCGCGGGCACATTCATACCGGCGGGTTTAATACGCGCGTCGGTGATCAATGCGGATCCACGCGTAATATCGGACAAAAGACCCCGCGCGTGCCGATCGCATCAACGGGAGCTCGTTGTCAGTTAATTAACGGGGCCGTTGTTTCATCGATGAAGCAAAATTTCTACGGATTCGCCGGAGGTAATAATTTGTTTCCGTCACTAAATCCGGTTTACCCTTTGGTTGGACCGTTTCCGATTTTGATCGCGCGGGTGTCGAACCACGGTTTCTCTGACTCGCGGCAACAGAGGAATCGGCGAGGATTCATCAGTCGTCGAGACGAATCGAAAGGAGGAGGGGCACGAGCCGCGGTAATTACCAACACAAAACAGGGGAGGGACGGAGCCATTAGCACCACCCCTATTTTATCCGGGAACAAAAACCATCAAACAGCACTTTATCAGAAACGGGAAGCGATCGCTCGGACGGGAGCCGAAAAAGCTGGAAACAATGCTCGTGTTGGTTAATGGCGAAAGTTCATCGTCCGGTCCTCTCTAAAATTTGTTCCGCGGATTCACCTGTTAAATTGTTACGTTATCATCGACTTCCGGCCGTCGACCAGCGGCGAAAATTATCGCGCGAGCCCCAAAGGAGTCTCGTCTTTAAAATTCCTTGGTCCCTCGGTGGAATCAAGAATTAATCCAGGCGAACCAACTCGCGCGCCGACTACGCGAAAAATATATAAAGTGGAAAATGAATAGAAAGTCGAGCCGAAGTTGCCGGGCTTCGTACACTTTTTTTCTTGGCTGGCGTCGCGATAAAAGTCAGGAGGGAACGTTATCCAATTTTTGCAGACGAGGTGTATCGGGTGGACTAACAAAAATTTCAATTAGCGGTGAAATTGCGCCCGCGACCTCCGGGCTGACGGTCTACGCGATAAGCGCGCGCAATTAGGAAAAAGTTGAAGGAAGTCGATCCCGGCCGATGCTCGCCGAAAGGAATACCTAATTGGCCGGGGGAAACATGAAAACTGCTTTCAAAAATGTTTCCATTCACCTCGCGAATTAATCGACGCGGAGGCAAGAATTTAAGAGAACCGAGCCGTCGGTGGAATTCGATTGGAAAGGAAGAAAGTAAGGCTCGGATCGATCAGCCAGCTGGTAATTAGAGTCTCGGATAATTCTATCGGGCATTGTCCGGTTAATACCGGAGCGATACTGGCCAGGGCAGATACGTCGATGACAGCTGGCTGGCCTATTCCCGATACACGCGCGACGTCGACACGTTTACCACACGCGTGTACACCCGAGAGTTTCTGCTTACACCGACGACGTTGTCCCGTGACACGACGCGCTGCTACCACCCGCATCGTTCAGATAAAATTATCCGTCGACGAGTGGCTACGTAACCCGAGACGCGGATGCTTATCCGACCTGACGTTCACTGTTTCAGACCGTTGCTCCAGGCTCCAGATGAATATTATAACGGTGTTTAGCGTTCAGGGTCATAGGTAGGTAGCTCGCGATTTCGCAGCCAAGGTACACCGAATTTAAGTCTCAAACACCGCGCCCGCCCTACCAACAATTAATTGTTTCAAATTACCGAGTAGAAATTGGGAACGTGCGGATCGACCGACAGAATTTTACTAAAACTAGTTCGCAATTACGATAATAATCGTGTTTCTAGTTGCCGTGCAATTTTCCAAACGAATTTCGTAACGAAAAATAGGTGAGAACGATTCGAATCGAGCATTACAAAGGGATTCTCGTCTGGGAATATCGAAATTGTCGGTGGGATTCGTTCGATGAACCGTTCAAAGTAGCGTAGGATCAAAGCGTCGTTGATCTCGTTCCGTTCATTAGACGCCCATTAGAAATTGAATAATCTACACCCACACTGTTCGTCTCGGACTCTTTTCACCGTCGATCGATCGAAAACCGGATCGTTCTTCGTCGTCGATTCGTGATTTCCAAAGTTCGTGCCAGAGAAATCGAGAGAATTTCGCGGATCAGTTGTCAGGGAAAAAATGATGCACGGCGGAAGACCGCGCACGGGAATCGTCCGCGTTTAATTGGAAATTTCGAGCGGTAAGAAAAATTCGTCCGCCGGGGACGTCCGCGGAATTACTCGCGACGCCGAAAACACCAAGTCGATTCGCCGTTGAAAATTTGCCGAAGGCCGGGCTTTACGAGCGTTCGATTAAATCTCGAACGTGCCGAATCACGGTCGAGCTCGTTCAGAAAACACACTCCTCTGAAATCATTTTTACGCGACGTTCAACGGTCGCGATCTCGAGTCAAACCGATCGAACGGCAGCTCGTTTTTAGAAAAAATGAAAACCGTACAATTGCGATGGAATTCTGGTACCGTTTTCGGTTGGATCGACGCTCCTTGACTCCGCTGCACGGGTTTTTCGACGGTCGGCCGTCGTCGCGTATCGGAAATTGAATGGAACCGGATCCGGACGGGCAGTTTGTAAGCGATCCGGCCGCAATTTTGCAAAGCTCGCGCAACAATTCAATTAAATTTGGTGGTACTTCCGGTGGCGGCACGCATCCGGAAAATTTCGAGCCTGCCAGGAATAAAATACACGCTCGATTTCGCGTGGAATCGATCAGCGTCCGGGTGCGTGGCGCGTCCCACCCGAACGCGCCGTTACTTCAAATTCACCTGCCGCGTCTGCAATTTGGTAACATAATTATATACCGACAGTGGATCGATCGTCCTCTGTTTTCCGCCTTTTGTCCCTTGCCCCCCCATTACGGCTCTCTCATTTTCCAATGTCGCAGTCACCGCGTGTTCCATTCACTCGTCGTCACAGCCACGACGACGAGACGCTCTCGACGAATCGTTTCGTTCGGCGGTTTTAAAGACGGCGCAGTTTTTTGGGTATCGACTGGCTCTCCGAATCGATACGGTTCACGCGAGCCGAGAAACGGAGCAATTAATACCGGTTCGTTCGAGTTCACGCCGTTTCCTGCAACGACGGAATCCGATTCCTCCTCTGTCTCAACGATATCCTTATCAAAGCCTCGGATCCGGTTCTAAAAAGGAACAATTAGACGCCACTGCCCTGTCACCCACCCCGCCTACGCTTCGTTCCGTTTCGACAGACTCGATTAATCGCGAATGTGACTCGAATTTTCATCGATCGGCCAGAGTAAATGGCAACGCGCGTGCTGTTTGAAACAAAGAGGAAACGGTAAAAAGAACGATCGAACGGAATCGGTGTGTAACCGAAAGTTCCTCTGCGGCGAAACATTTACTCGGATATTTAGTAGAACGAACTTTAATCGTCCGATATGGCCGAGTCTTGGCCGCGGAAACCTACTAGAAATAATCCCTTACCGCCGATCCCGGCTAATTACTTTTTTCCCGATCTCCCCATCTAAAGCCCGCCGCTTTATCAAATAATTCCAAACCAATTGAATCGAATTCGGTGGCGAATAAACGTACGAGATTTAGATTCCGCGGAACAAAATTGTTTGGGTAAATGAATAAATAATTGCAAACGCATTACGAATCGATTCGCTCCTCCGCGCGTGCGACGAGAGAGAAACGGGGGAGAGGGTTGGTCTCGCTTCGTTCGGGTGTGACAGTCGACGGGATACGTTTCACGTCTTGTTTTTCATACTCTCTGTATTTTTTTTTTCCTTTTTTTTTTCTGTTTCGCGCCGGCGATGGAAACGTGCAGATTGTTTCTGAAAGGTCCTCCGAGGCTCTTTCGAGGGTACTACATCGTGTCACGCGCCAACGTTTTCGATATAAGCGATGGAAATGGATTTAAAAACGCGGATGTAAACGCTGTCTGGGTTCGGAAAAAATCGTAGGAACAAGCGCTGTGTGTACTATACCAGTTTTCATCTGACCGTGATCGAAGGTACGCACGAAACGTCCATATAGAATTTTCAACCAGAGGCGTACCCGGATTTCGAACGATCCGAATAAGAATCAATTGTTCGCGCCGATAGGACGTACACGTTTCGTCGAACCGACGGAGCGAAGGAAAGCGCGTTCGTGTTCCGGCGGCGGTGCATACGAGCCGGATTCCTTGGAAAGTTGCGGGCTACGACGCGTTTCCGTTTAATATCCAGCAGCAAACCGTTCCGAGTTCCGATCGGAATTTCGTGTCGGAAAGTTTCACGCGTGACTTCGCGAAACGATCGGAACCGACTTCGCCGCGCACGCTAATACCGTGTCGGCCCATCCACGGACTCATCTTTTGATCGCCCTCTCCAACTCCCTCGTAATCCCACCCTGGCCATCGATCGTCCCAACGATCGCGTCCCGTAGATCCTCGGATAAAGACGCCCCGCGATCCCTCCACGAAATTCGAGCCACCGAATTTCCTACTTCAGAACATCTCGTAGATATTTCGTAAAAGAAAAATAACCACGAGGGAGAGTCGGTCGGTTATGAATTCTGAATTGGCACGAGACTCGAAGCGATCGTCGCCGAGAGAAAGACGCCGTCCCACGCGGAACGCACGCACGTGTCTTCACCTCGAAAATTTCCACGATTTCCAATATTTAGAGAAATATTTTGAACGCATAAAAAACACAGTGTATTCCAGGAAAAAAAAAAAAATTGCCGCAGGCAACTCGATACATTTTTAATGTCCGTGGAAAAAATGTGTGGTCGGCATGCGAAATAAATTTTCGGATCACCTTTTATATTCGAGCGGGCGGACGTCGAACTCGATATCCGAAAATTTACATTCGTATTTGTCGAACTGCTAAATAATCTGTGCGAGAATAAACTCTGCTCGGAGGTAAATACCTCGTTTATTTCCATCGTCCAGTGACACGAACGCGCTGAAGATTCGATACGAAAATAGAAGCAGGAATCGAGAAGATCGAACGGCGACCGACACTCCCGGCACGTTTCGCTCGATTCTTTTTTTGGCCAGACAAAAGGCGGCGGAATATAAAAAAGATTTCGCGCCTCACCCCAATAATTCCCCACGCTTTTATCTTCCCGCGGGTGTGATTTGGCGCGTTGCCCGACTCGATACCGATGCCTCCTCGCCCGTTCTCCGACCGGCAAATAAGAGCGAGAGACGTCGGAAACGTGGACCGCAGAGATTCCTCCGTCTTCGTTCGGCGTCTGGAGAACCTCGCGCGACCAACCCTCCTCCTCCTCCTTCTTCTCCGGTTCACGCGGCCGCAGTATTTCTCCTCCCGTTCCTTTTATTTTTAATCCCGGCCATCGCGTAATTACTTTTCGGGAAACGAATCACGCTATCTTCATCTTGTTTTCAAAGTGCTCCCCATTTCCTACGAGATATTGGCTCGGCCGGAGCGAAACGCGATTCTTCGGTCCGACATTTTTTTCGCAACGGAATTATTCGTACACAAGAAGTTGATCGATCGAGAATTTTGAACCGACGACAAACAGAGAGAGAGAGAGAGAGAGCTGGCCATTAATGGTTGTGCAATCGGATGCATAAAGTCTTTGATCAGAGCATATGCGTCATAACTAGACCGACGTAATCGGGAGATTTAATAGCGGGTTATTAAGCAGCATCGAGAGGAACGTTAAATGGCTAACGCGTGTCCGTAAATTTCCTCCCACCGACCAATTACACGGCGGAGAGCTCGAAAAGGGATTCCGGCAGAGGATTACACCAGTTATTCTCCGATATTGGATGATACTCTTAGAAACGGTCCAGATTCGCTCGTCCGAGCCTCGTTCTCCCCCGTAATCCCCTCTTTGAGAGGCTATTTTTATATCGCCCGACTTCCGGACCGATCGAGAATAGAGATTGTGCAATTTGTCTCCCAACCGAATGCATCGTAAAATAGAAATAGCGGACAACTTGTAATGGCACTCACTTTTTGAGGGTGGCCAGCCGCTCCTCCTGCGCTTTGATGTACCCGTTCAGCGTGTCGATGAGCACGGCCTCCGTCTCCAGCAGCTCCTCCATGTCCGCCAACGCTGTGTAAAGTTCCCCGTGGCACGTGATGGTCATCGAGATCAGGATCGCCAGGCCGATCGTCATCCACGTCCCGTTCCTCATCTTCCTCGTCCTGCGGTCACACAAGAAGCAACGAAATTTTTAACAGACTCCCAAGTTTCTATCCGCGACATGTCGCGCGCGAGCGTCTCGTTCGATAAAATCATGCAAACAAGCATGAATTAGCATGAGCGAACTTCCGTGAAACCGTAGCAGCTGAGACGCACATGTGCGTCTCGAACGTGGAAATCTATGTATCAGAGCGTTTGAACGCTGAGACGAACACGTTTGCATATTCAGTTCAATTAAACGTCTCGCTTAATCGGCAAACAGACTGACTGCCACCGGAAGAGACTTTACTCCCTCCGTGCAAAGTTCGTCGACGAGAGTCGCCGCTCGAAAAAGAGCCAGACTCGGCCAGGTACTCCTCCTCCTCTCTGGGAACTTCGGATGCTAATGCAATCACGGGAGTTTCAAACTCTTTCGACGCATTGTGAAATCAGATATCCGGCAGGCAGGAAAGCGAAACAGGGTCGACGGTAAAAAGGGAGAGCGATTCGTACAACGACGCGAGATCGCAACCCGTCTTCATTTTCGATCGATCGTCGCTCTCAAAAAAAGAAAAAAACGTGGCTATTGCAAATTTCGAACGCGCTCGTGTCTCGCTGCAAAGACGAATGGAACTCGTTGAGATATTTTATTTACGAGTCGTTCCACCGATTTCCTGGGAGCACTCTCGAGAACGAACGCTTTTGAACTTTCGAGTGGCCGTGAAACGTTCACAAAAGCCGGGGGCGGAGGGGAGAGAAAAAAAAAAAAAAAAAAAAGGAAAACGCGAAAGAGAAGTTCGCGACGGCGTGACGGAATAAATCGTCGATCGCGCAGGTGTAAGCCGGTCTCTCCCGAAACTTTAATCCTTCTCGCTCCGAGGAAAGTTGGAGCAGCGGAACGCGACGCAACGGGAAGACGTACGACGACGGCAGCCGGGGAAACTCGATTACGGAATTTTTCTTTAATTTGCGACCGGACGATCGACGGTTTAAGAAGCGACCGAAAAGTTTCAAGGATTTACGACGGGCGAACCTCGTCCCGGGACGTTCGATTAAACAATCTTTTCGGTCGAATCTCGACGACGAGCTACCTCGCTTCGATCGTCCAGCAGTTTTCTCGTATCGCACGGAGGAAATTGTTAACGCCGACGAGTTTCCACCAGCGTATTACCCGGACCCGTTAGTTCTGACCAGCGAATTTCTATGAACCGAAGCTCAGGCGAATTTGTACAAATTGCCGGACCCCCGAAACGAGAAATTCAACTTGCCACGGCTAATCGGCCGGCGATCGAGGCAAATTAGTTCATGTTAAACCGAGTAACGACGGACTTTCCCGCGGATGCGAAATTCCGCCCCCGGAACAACGGGGATCGACGACCAACTTTCCCAAACGCTTCGTCGCATCGATTTTAAAACCAGCAGCCTCCGCTCGTCCCTGTCTCTCACGGTTACAACGCGTCATATCCAAACGATCGCCACAAATTCGTCCGTGACCGTTTCGCGAGTTTTAAAAAAAAAAAAATATCGGCGAACTGGTGAAATCTGAAGCTTCCACGGAGGACGAAGCGTTCGAAGAGGACGACGCCATAATCGGTTTAATTGTTCGACCAAGACCCCTAGCGGTGGTACTCATCAGCGTGGCGGACTACATATTAAATTAATTCTTCTAAACTCTCTCAAAGAGCCACGGGAAAGGAAACGCGACACGGACGAGCGGGGGCGATGGTGGTGAAAGGCAGCTCCCGGAAATCTCGCTGAAAGGACGGCGTTAATTAAGCGGCACCCCGGAAGAATAGGCCCTCGAGGGTAGCGCGACCACTGGCGCAGGGAATTAAGGTGTAAAAGAGACTGGAAGAAAAAGCGAAAAGAACCACCGAGACACCCCCCGACCATCTTCGCGAACAGAGAAGAAAGAGCAGTCTTCTTCGCGGGCCACTTCTCCCTTTCTCCTCTCTCCCTCTCCTCTCGTATACCGAATGCGTACCACGATTCTTCTCTACGTGCCACCGCGTCAACGAGAATCCCGTTTCGAACCAGCAGCCATCGTGCATCTTTATTATTGTTACCAATTCCGAATCCGTCACGCGTCTCTACACAAAAAATCGTTTGTAGAAAAACGATTAGATCGGCGCGTGTCCCACGCGAGCCTCCCTTTGTTCCGTGAATCGCTCTTTTCCTCGTTTTCCCTGGATAAAGAGGAAGGCCGCGCCATTGAAACCGAAGAAGAGCCGTTCCCGAAAGTTCGTAAAACGTTAAGAGGTCTCTCGCGCCGCCACTTGCACCGCGGAACCCGCTCTTCCGCGTTCCACAATAAAGGGGAAATCATCATTCTTTTTTCGTTTTTTTTTTACCCGCTTTTCACCTTTGTCCTTTGACTCTGCCAGAAGAATTACAGAGCTCGGTCGCGGTACTCCAGATTCGGCGTTCAAACCTCTCACGGTCCGGTTTCGATTCTCTCTTTTTTTTTCTTACACAATCGATCGACGATACGTCGTCACTAGTTTAAAAAGTCGTCGAACGGGATCGAGTCGAAAAACTGGAGTAAGAACGAGGAAATCCGGAAATACGAATCAATCCCCGAAAATTTTTTTTCCCCCTCGCGCGTGATTAATCGATAGCCATCTATCTTCATTTGATCCTCGTTAGTGTCGCTTTTTTTTTTTCTCGTCCCGGGAAACCAACCGGCTCTATCGGTGGACAAGAGGCGAGAATTGGGATCGGAAAAAAAAATAGGACAATAAAAAAAAAGAAGCATCGACCGATCGACCCCCTGCTTTGGTTTCACGGCTCGATTTACCGACGACAATGTGATTCGTCGATTGCGATCGTAATTAAATTCATACAATTGTGCGTATCCAAGTATTAAACTTGTCTATGAAATTTCGATTCTTACGTTGATCAACCGTTTGACGATCGACGTGCGCGCGTAGCGTAACGATGTTTCCTTGATTTTCCATCAATTTTAAGTCGAATCGGCGGAGACAAAGGGAAATGTAACGAACCGATCGAGAACGTTTTCGATCGACGAGTTTTCGAAGCTACCAAAAACTGGTCAGGTAACAAGTCGTTCCTTTGAGCCGTGAACGGGCATTGTTTTCCCGTTCCTCGTTTCCGCCAATGAGACCGGAAAACAACGAGCGTTGCAAAGAGGGGAACGACACTCTGTTGCACGAATATGTTTGTAGACGGAACTGCGAGGGAAAAGGGAGTAACAAAAAAAAAATCTGTAGAAACGGCGTCACGTGCAAAATCATGGCTCAAAGGGAGAAGAGAGACGTCGATCAAGCCTTTCACCCCCCGTACCCCTTCAAAAGTATTTCCCTGCTCCTTTCACGATAACGAGAGCGAACGAGCCGTCAATCGAGATCTCTTTGTTTCGTAAATATTCTCGATTTTACATTGCGCGCGTTGCTGCGACGATCGACGCGAATTAACAAAAAGTAAATTCGCGTGACTTTCGGTTCGTGTTTCGTGGAATAATGAGAAAATTCGATGTGCCACGTGAAAGACGGCAAGAGCTATGCTCTGGTGGGTCGGTGTGTGCACGTGGTCAGGTTCAATTTACCTGGAGGAACGAAACGGCCGGAAGCTAATTTGCGGTCACGCGTAATTAGCGTCGTTACGAGGGACGGGAAAAACGGACGAAAGAGACCACGTCTGGGTCGAAAGGGCCGACTCCGCATCGGACCCTCTCATTTTCTCCCGGCCAAGGAGCCGATCGGCCGCCAAGCCCGTTACGACTTTTCGCGAGTCTCCTTCGCCGTCTCAATCCGTTCGGACGTCTTTAAAAGACTAGAGAGAGACTGTCTCCTTTCTGCCGAATTTCATAAAGATCGAGTAGCTGCAGGAATGATTCGCGCGGGGGAAACCGAACGAGCAGCGGACGTCAGATCGTGCAAAAAGATGGCTTTGAAGTAGGGCGCGAACCTCAAAATGGTAATTTCACGGGTACACGAGCATTCCACCCGCGGCCAATTTAATTCACGACGGATGATCCGTCCCGTCCGATCCGTTTCCTTCTCTGCCCCCCACAAGCTTGTGTCTTCTTCGTCTATCGTGTCATCCAATTCCGCTCGTACGAACTCGTTAACCCTCGGCTTCCCAAACTTTTTTACCGCCTTCTTTTCCCATTTTCCCATCCGTAAACTCCCAGAATAATTACGATCACTTCTCGGGAAAAGATCGACTCTCGTGGCGTCGAAGAGAACAAACAGATCTCCAGCCAGTAGTATCTCTCGTGCAGCCCACAAGTCTAATGTATATCGTTCGTCCACGACTTAAAAACGATTCAATTAACGCCTTACACGAGTGAGTAAATTATTATAACGAACAAATAAAGTGCGCGCCTTCTATTTGATTTCGTACGTCGCAAGTAGTACGAGTCAAGGATACGTCGGACATTTTATGAATTACCGTGTTGCAAGTTTTTTAACTGGTTTTAATCATCGATTACTGGCTTAGGAATGACTCAATTGACGAATTGAACGACTAATTGAATTATTGTAATACCAACAAGGAGAATAATTGACGGTGAGCGAAATAATTTCCATAATTTCTCCTGAAGTAATTTAAGGCAGAAGAAAACTGTATACCACCTTTTTTGAAGGTAGTAGTAGTACCTATGACTTTTACTCAAAGCATTTGTCGAAATTCCGCGAAAAAAAAATTTTCGATTTTTCCGACATTTTTCCAAGGGGTACCCCTTCAGATTTCGCGAAATTTTCGTTTTTTGCCAATAACTTCTAAACCGTTGGAGATACGGGAAAATTGCATAGGACCTTTCTTGTAGAGCTCGACGAGATCTACAATTTCCATATAAAATTTTGTTGCTAGCATTAATAGTTCACGAGTTATTTACGAAAAACGAAAAAACAGTTTTTTGCAAATAACTCGTTAACTATTGACGCTAGCAACAAAATTTTATATGGAAATTGTAGATCTCGTCGTCCCCTACAAAATGGTTCCAAAAATACCCCTCTAAGTCCAACCGTTTGGAAGTTATCGTCAAAAAACGAAATTTTTT